TGCTCAGATCTTGTACCTGACCAGTGTGCCTTATGCTCTAATTCCTGTTGCTCTTAGACTGCTAAATACTGTGCCTAGAAAGCAACAGTGTTTAGGAAGAAGTTTACTTTACCTGCAAGTTACCTAGTAGTTTTCTACCATGAGAGTTTTTTGTTGGTTTTTTTGTTTTGTTTTGTTTTGTTTTTCAATTTTTCTCCAAAGGGCCTGTCAGACCTCAGCTGCTGACCAAGTGAATTACGTTTCTGGAGACAAGTGAGCTGCAAATACCTTAGTCATATTATTAAAATTCACAGAATCACAGAATTGCTGGAGTTGAAAGGGACCTCTAAAGATCATCTAGTCCAACTCTCCCACTGAAGCAGGATAACCTAGAGCACTTTACACAGGACTGTACCCAGGAGGGTTTTGAATGTCTCCAGAGATGGATGATTGCCTTATTAAAGTCTATGAACATCTTCACGCTTACTCTATTAGTTTTAGAAGGTCAGCCTTGTAGGTTCCATCCTTCAGGATGCATTTGGGTACATTAACTAAACATTCTTAATTCAGTAAGCTGAGTATTTCTGCAGTGCTGAGTAAACTGTGTTCTGTGATAGTTCGTGGATGCCTTTTTTATTTTTTTCTTATCTTTTAATATGCATGTTTTGATAGGTTTTAAAAATCTGATACTGTTGTATCTGATACTGTGATGGGCAGTCTTAAAATTCGTCAAACAATCTGAGTTTCTGTAGTACTGCTGGTGATACTGAGAGCTGTTTTGATTGTACTCTAATTTGCCTGTTTTTACTTGTTAGGGATGATTGGCTATGGCATGGCCAAAGGAGCAGTGCACCAGCTTTGTCAGAGTTTAGCTGGTGCCAATAGTGGCTTGCCATCTGGTTCTGCTGCTGTTGCCATTTTACCGTAAGTGGTTGCATATTTGCCTCTGCCTGTGTTGTTTTATTTAATTACTGCTGTAACCTAGAGTCAGGTGGATATGCTTGCCATGTCCTATTCACAATACACAGCTTCTCAGAAAAAGAGGCATCTCGAACATATGAACATAATGATATGTAAGTCACCCTAAAAATGATTAATTTCCTGTTCTTTGCAAAGCAGTAGTGGATATTGAGATTAAAATTCTAATCACTTTTAACAAGTTTAACTGTAGCCTTGCATTAATGTGTGAGTTGTTCCATTTTTTTTCTTAGTATAAACAGATCTGTGAAAATAAGATGAGCTATTCAGCACAGGTTTAGACTTAGCTGTGTGATAATAGTAAAGCAAAGGATTATTTGACAAGTTTTGACTTGGTTAAAGATGCTTCTTCATAAGGTGCTGCATATCTGTGCTTGATCAGTAAAATCAGGTCACTTTGAGGATCTGTGAAAAGAAAAAGTTTAGCTTGTATTTGCCTGTTACAGCTCTCCCTTTGATGAGAAAAGCTAGTAAACAGTTGATGGCCTAGCAGATCTTTAGTATGTCTAAATGTATTAATTCCACTGCAAAAATCAAAAGTACTTTTCTTGCCACGTCAATATCTAGTTCAGGACCCAAAACTTCAGACTAAAGAGTTCTGTATAGAGATTTGGAACACTGCCTGAATTCTCTCTGTTTTCCTCATATATACACATTCATGTGCACTTCAGGTCAGAGAGCAATGGCATTAAAGTGTTTGGTAATTGACACCACCTTCTACAAAGCTTTGCAGACAGCAAGATGACTGGACTTTTGGGTGTTCTGCACTTGCACACTTCTCATGCAGAACTCTGTTCTTGAGTGAATTTTTGAGAGTGATTATACAGTGGGTTGTCAACAGCATCTTGGGGAGGGCTGTGAAAAGTTCAGCCCTTAATATCATTGTATGTAGTGCGTATATGGATCATCAAAGTAAAAGCTTTCTATGCTTGTGCACTTAATCTCTGCCTTTGTAGCTGGTGTGAGGCTGTTTGAAAGAATAGTTGTAGCACATATGTCCTGTGCAGTACATGTGAACAGGCTTATTACTGCTGTTCCCTGTCTGCATGAGAGAGCCTGGAAGGGAGCTGTGGGCTGACTGCTTGCCCTGATGGGCTGAATGCCACAAGCAAGCCAGGGAGGTGAGGGGTTGTAGGTGGCAGCCTCTGATGTACATTGAAACTGATGGCTGTATGCTGTTAACACATGTAGAGGATGCAAGGGAAATCCATACCACGTGGTATAAAAGTCAAGCATATGTTACAGCAATGAACAGAAGCATATGGTGCTTATCAGAACATGATTTATGAATAAAAGGCTTACCTTTTTTTAATCACAGGGTTACCTTAGATACACCAGCAAACAGGAAATCAATGCCTGATGCAGACTTCAGTTCCTGGACACCCTTAGAATTCATTGCTGAGTGAGTATCTGTGTGGTAACTAACCAGTTCCTCAGTGTCCCTCTTGCTGCTGCATCTTATTGCATGTTCTTTCTAAATAGCTGTCTTGGATTGGGGTGGGGTTTTATTTTTTCCTCCATCCTGCCCTCATTGTTTATGTTTCTAAATTATGTTGGGTTTCTTGCACAGGCTTCTTATCGGGAGCAAGTTGGGCAAACTCCCTTAACTTCTGTACACCAGTTATTCCAACAAAGCAGATAGCCTTAAGCAGTTGGAAGGCAATGTATCTCATAAAGACTGTAGACAAATTAAATTACAGACAACAGATGCAGGAATCAGTAGTCTGTCTTAAAGGTAAACTGCAAATAAGCATGTAAACTTTGGGATTTATTTTTTCTTTTATACACTCTTTACTGCCCATCTATGATATGTTAGTTCACTTAACTCAGCTAGAAAAATTCCTGCTCTTGTTTAGAAAAATTGAGTTAAGATTATTTTTCTTCCCATCATCCACAAAGGCTTGTCCCAAATGATATTGCAAAATGCTGAAACTGCAACTGTAGCTTACTTAACAGCAGGCTGAGATTATAAGGCTTATTCTTTCTAATTCCTCTCAGAAGGTGCAGCCTAAGTACTGCTTTGTGATGTGATGGGGAGTAGGAAAGATTCTGCTGAGAGTTAGGTGCTAAAAGGAAGAAAATAAGGACATAACTGTCATGCTTGTTTGAGGAAAGCAAAAAATCAGTACAAGTTCATACATTGTAAATAGCTTTACTATTACACATTTTTCAAGTCTTTTAGAAATGACACAGCAATTGCATTTATCTGTTGCTAATTGTTCAGAGTAGTTTAGTTCTGACATTAGGTTTTCTTTTCTTAATTTTTTTTTTTTTTAACCTGGATGTCAGAGTAGGAAATGTTTTTTCTTGTGAGAAGCCTATGCAGCTGTTGAAGCCTATGCAGGATCTTTAAAAGTGCCCCATTAATTGAATTTAGTTGGCTTAAAAATGTTAAAAAAATACATTTTTATTGTGTTCCTGAAATTGCTTAGCCAGATGTTATGGCTTCACTAACTAATTTTAAACTTTTAACTTTTAAGATTTTTTTCCTTAGGGGAGAATTAGGTTGCATGGTTTGCTTATTTTCTTGGGTTCTAATTCCCTGCATTTTAAATCCACCTTTGAAAACTGAAAATCTCGTCGTTTATGGAAGAAAACCATCCGGTGTTGTTAAATGTTGGTAATGTCTGCATCTTGGGAAGGATGCAGGAAATCTTTTTCCATATGACACTTCAGTTTTGTGCTCTGTAAGCCCTTGTGTCAGATGTATGGACCTTCCAACATGGCAGTTGCTATGTCTGCAGTGTTGAAAGGGTTGATTGACCTGAAAAATATACTGCACTTTCTGGACTATATTTTGAGTCAGGAGTTTATGTTACATTTTGATAAAGAATGTTCTGCTGTGCTACCTAGAATGAGTCCATCTTACTTGGCATTATTGTGGATGTCATGAGGATTTCTATGCTGCTTCTGAGACCATTTTCACAGTTAGATATCTTTGGTGTTACACTGGTCTCTTGGCAGAATAATAGGTTTAGCAGTTGTATTTTAGCTTTAAACCTGTATTCCTGATATATACTATAAAGGGAAGTTAAGCAGCCTCTTCCCCCACCCCCTTTTTTTTTTCCAACTTGGAGAAGTCTTGCCACTTTGGCTTGCCACTTTGACATTTTAAGCTCCTGGCCTTTTCCTTTGAGATCTTCTGAAAATCCTGTGTGTGTGCTGTAAAGCCCTATGGATTCCTCTGGGTCTCTGCCCAGATCTGAGCGCCTGAATCCAGTGACTGCATTGCTAGTTTGCAGCATACATAGAAATCACTAGACAGAGCAATAGGAGAAGAAGGAAAAGCAACAGACTTTATATTATGCTTCCTGTCAATATGCCTGATAGTATTTTTTTTTTCCTCCTCCTCACCCCGTTTTATCCATTTATTTTAAAACAGAACCTTTTATGACTGGATAACAGGAAAGAATCGACCCAACTCGGGGAGTCTAATCCAGGTGATAACTACAGGAGGGAAGACTGAACTAGTTGCAGCACATCTTTAATTTCAGGCACTTAAGATGGTGAAACTACAGCAGAGGAGAAGCTATGGAAAAATCTGTCTGCCAGTATAATTTAGATCATCTTCTATATCCAGTGATTGTATTTATGTCATTAATGGAACCAGATTTCAAGTAATGTTCTGTGATGTAAGCTATCAGCATTTGCTTACCAACAAGTATTTGTCTCTAAATGGAAGTTGCAGGCTTTCACGTCTGTAGATGTCCTAATTCTGCATATTTACTTGCCTGTTTTTACTGACATGGGAATTGTGCTTAATTAATGTCATTTAATCACATATATAATGGTTGGATTTTTTTCTCAGTAAGTTTTTCTGGCAATTTATTATCAATCTTTCAATAGTCTGTCTACCTTTTTCTGTCTGAGAATATAACCCCACCCCAGCATATCATGTTGGCTGTAGTTACAAGGAAACATTGCAGTCACAAATAATGTCCTAGTCTTGTAACATTTTTTTCATGTGAATGTTCCACTTGAGTTAATGGAACGGTATAGAGATCACTCACTTAATGGAATGGTATAGAGATCACTCACTTAAGATGGAGTTCCTAATTTGCCTTACAGTTTATAAACTGCTACCAGGCCTACAGTTGTAGGATAAAATAGTCATTCTGCCAAATGATTAGTATGTCTGTGTTAGTCATAATGGTTCTTTACAGCACTTTTTAAATCAAAAAAAGTAGTACTAGAAAAAGCATTCACAGGCTTCTATTTGAATATTGAACTTCTTGTGCTAAATAAAAGTATACTGTTTTATCCACTGAGCTCTCTCCATTACTGTAATCCAAATACCTGAATAACATTTTAATCAATTTAACTGAACTACAAGTTTAGTTATGGTAAATTACTTCATTTTTTACTTATTTCCTTCTGATCATGATCATAGAATCACAGAATGGTTTGGGTCAGAAGGGAACTTAAAGATTGCCTAGTTCCAACTACCCTGCATGGGCAGGGTACATCTCATCATTCTGTGTAGAATACATTTCTGTAAGAGAGCTGCAGAAGAGCTAGTAGCTATGTCTAAGGCAGGCCTTCAACTGCAGCAAGTTTTCTATAACCCGGCTACATTATGTGGAAATACAGTGTGATTGCAGAGTGACAGTATTGCCTATTCTGACCAGAGGCTTACATGGAACCAGTGATGTCAGAGATGGAATGTGCAAAGTTGTATGTACATTCTCTCTGTGCAGTTTTTGGTTTTAATTAATGTTGGGGAAGAACTTACTGCTGTAAATCAGGAAAGTTTTTTTCCTTTCTTCACACTAGGAAAAGCTCATATGTGCTGATGTCACTTAACATGATCGTATGGCTGGGATTCCAGATGTGCATTTCTAGAGCTGTGTTAGAGCCCAGGGTCAAGGACATAGCAGGCTATATGGGTATTTTTACAAAACTTGCTGTGGCTGAATGTTGTTAACACAGCAATGAGACTAAGACAAGCAGGGAATCTTTTTATTTGCTAAGGGCTACACAAGGACTTTTCAGACATCTTTTATAGGTTTTGAACATGTACCTGGACCTTAATGTTTTTATCAATAATCTGGTAAAGAAGGCAAATGACTAGTCTTTGGTCATGTGGAATTAAGTTGAAGGCTGTGACTAATCAATCCTGAGATTATACAGGAGGGAAGAGGGAAACTAGGTTTAAATTTTGGTAGAGATCAAAAGGTCAAAAAAAGACAATGAGGTGTGATCCATGCATTTCAGAAGCTTGAAGGATTCCTCCTTCTTCCTAACTAGAAAGACCTCACAGTCCTGGTAGGTGAACCTGGGCCAAATCCATGTTTCTGACCTAGATGCTTTGGATATGCTTTGGCAGTACCAAATAGAGATAATGGCCTTGAAAACAGGGGAGTTACGTACACTATGCTAAGAGGAGGGTGCCAAGCTTGTAGAGACCTCAGCTGGTTAGTTGTCTCCCTCCATGCCTCATTTAATGCACCCAAGCAGGTCTAGGAGCAGAACAGCTGTGTTAGGACAGTGTGGAACATGAAGTAGGGCCACCAGTCATTCTGTATTGTTGTACCGGTGCAGCTGTAGCTCCAGTGCTGGTTCAGTGTCTCACGAAGATCTAGTGCTCCTACCCATCTTACCAAATGTAAGGCTATTGTTATTGTAAGACACAGTAGCTGTATAAACGCATGAGATGGAAGAAATCCATGTTGAACGGTAAACATAGCAACAGGAGCATCCTCAGCTGAGCTTTCCTTCTTCCACTCTTGCCTGATGGGGATGAATGGTATGAAACATGAGCAGCTTCTCCATTCTATAAAAGCTGTCTGGTGTCCTTATTCAAATTGTATTGCTGCCTGTTGGAAAAAATAATGTTGACTGTAGCAATGTAAGAGTGATGAAATATGTGGACTGTGAAACAGTGAATAGTGGTAAAATACAGTTGTGAATGGAAGACTGGTGACTGGATTATTAACTTTTATCAGTTGCAGGTACAAGTGGAAAGATATGAAAATGGCATTACTGAAGTTTGAGAGTGAGAAGCAAGGTGTTTGTAGTTCTTCCTCCAGCTACCAAAACTTTGCCACACAACCCCCAATACCCAGGCATAAGTGGATGAGAACCTGCAGTGCTGTTCAGACTGAGGCCACCATCCCGTGCATGGTCCTGTTGCTTTGCAGAACCTTTCTGTCACTGCAGAACTGAGTCTGAAATCTCTTTCAGATTTCACTGTGAGGTGAAATTCACATACTTTACCAACAGGTTTAATTAGTTTTTCAAAGTAATCATTTTATTTGAATTTTTTTTTTTCTATTGACTGGCTAATGAGGATGCCACAGAATGGAAGTTTAACATGATGCTCTGCACACAAGGAAAATAGCATGCTGTAAATGCAGTGGAATTGTACCCAAATACAATGGGAATTGAGTCATTGCAGTTGCAGTTCTACATTAGCCTAAACCTGCACTTTGAAACCTTTTGTTGAAATAATTTGCTATGCTAAACAAGCACTTTTTTTTTTTTTTTTTTTTAAGTGGATTTAAAATGACCACCACAACAAAGAGTTATATTTATTTTCTTGTTTCTTCTTCCTTGTGTTGGCTTACTGGAAGAAAACAGACGGGGACTGTAACAGTATGCAGAGATGCTTCAGACTAACCTTTGTAGTGTTGAACAAGGTGAGAAGTAGGCAGAAATCTGAAAAGCATTGCAGAAGTCAATAGCAAACGTCACTTGAGATTTAGATCCCTGTCATACACAGCCATTCTTGCACTTCCTGAAACATCGTGTTCTAAAGGATTTGCTTTATAAATCCGGCCGGTCTGGGCAGTTTGCGAGGACTCTGGAGATACGATCACGTGCT